TCCGTAGAAGTAACTTCAGGCGCTCAGAAATTCCTAACTCACCCAGCAGCAACGGGAGCTGGCTCGACTTGATCGGGTTTGAACACCCGCACACCTTTCCTTAGCTATGCATGGTACTACGTCGGCTGCAAGCTACGAACCGGAAGTGAGAATACCCATGGTGCTTTGCGGCTGCTGCCAAACGCCGGTCACCTATTTGCTTGTACTTCCCATTATTGTAACTATCCCCAGGCAGTGTGGGATATCGCCAGAACACGTCATGTCCGCTGTGCCCTCCTCCTCCTCCGCTTTCGGAGGTGGTGCCACTGATGCGATCGGCCATTGTTTATTTAATTAATTTCGGGGCAAGGAAGAATTAACTTAGATTTATAGCTATGACATTAATCTTGAAATGTTACGTCAGTCTTCATTCAAATGATGCAAATAGGGCTATCGGACCGATTGACCGACTGGCGCGGATTGTAATGTGCAGGTATAATTGTAGGAATCCGTTGTGTAATTATAGTGACCGTGTATTTTGAGTTTGTTGACAACTTAAAGGTACTCTTTATCTTAACAACCCCTCCCCCATTAATTGACTAGACGTGAGGATACTCAGGATGGTACTAAAAAAAACTTTCAGCCCTTCCACTCCGGTGAGGAAGGAAGACCAGCGGAGCTGTACAATGGAAAGTAATGGCCGGCCGCAACTCGGCAAGCCAGAGTGGAAAGGCTGGCGCCATCTATGAGCGACGGCGGCAACCAGATACGTGGCTTGCCGCCGTCGCTCATAGATGGCGGTAGGTGTCCAGAGCTCGGTGTCTTCATTTCTTTGCGGGGGACGTGATTCTGGGGAAACTAGCCCTTAAATGGGCCCTGGAACGACATATTGACTGTTTTTTAAGTTGCACCGAACCTGAGCGCACTGAACGTGGTAACTTAAAGAAACTGTTCTTTTCTCAAATTTCGCTTTATTTCAAAAGTTATAGGCAAATTAGAATTACAAAAACAAGCAAAAAATAACCTCCTTCATGACGTCGTAGGTCCTGGCTTGAGTGGCCGTCAACTATACTTCGTTTCAGCTTCGGTCCGAGCGCGGCCGATATTATGAGCCGAAGGGCCAATCAAACAGCGAGAGGCACAGCGTCATTGCGTGCTTTCTGCAGTTGATAGGACCAGCCGGTATTCGCCGTCTCTCTGTGCGTGCTCCTCCGCTGGTTAGTCTTATCAAGCGCAGAGACCACGCCATGACACTGCGCTTTTTGCACTGTTTGATTGGCCCTTCGGCTCGTAACATAGGCCGCGCTCGGACCGAAGCTGAAACGAAGTATAGAGGAGGAGTAGTGAGCTCATCGAGCGCTCACGGCTGCAGAACTCCGTGTCGACGGCTCGAGAGGGCGCCACTAAAGCACATGTTGGATAGGCTGTATAAAGTGGGCGGCCAGGGCGGCTCGCATTGCATTTGCTGCGCGATTAAAATTTAATTCGGCATAACACTTCATTAGCCACAAACGACAGCAAACACGGGGTAAAGATCAGTTCAGAACGGGAGCGACTTCGCGCTGCCATACCGCCAAATGGCCAAATCGCCAGCCAAGCCCGCGCCGAAAGCCTTCGGAACGCTCGGAACCGGTCGGATCCTCGAGCCGGTACACGACCGCAGCGCCGCCGCGTACATCCGGGACCTTAATACGCTCGCCGTTCGTCAGAGCCTCATCCCACTAGCCCTTTCTAGTATGCGCCGTTTTTCCGCCGCTTGGTGGCGGGTTTGTCGACGCGTCTTTTCTTGTTTCTGTACTTAAGAAACTGCATTTGTTTCTTTTCTGATCTAAAATACTGAACAAAAACTACTTTCATACACCAACTCATCTCTGTGACGTCACGGCGCGGTGGTGGCGCGTCGGTCGCACTTCCGGTCTGGGGCTGTGGGCAGAAGTCCCCATGCCAGACGTGTATTCCTGCGTTGTTTTGAAAGGAACCAGACTAAAACCTGCCTTCTCGTCAAAACGCCGGGACTGGGGTCGTACCAGAACAGTCGAGAAAGGTTTGAAGGTCAGTTTTCACGTTCTCGGTTCGTCCGAGAATCTGGGTATGTGCTGTGAAATGGGAAAAGCAGACGCCGTCGGACAACGATTGCTTGGGCGGGAAGCACTTTGGGTTGAATTCACGGATACTTGTGGTCATCAGATTTATTTGTTTTGTTCCAACATGAACGCCAGAAAACCATCAAGTTGCACGGACCACCCGCGGACTACGTTCAGTGCGTCTTCAAGTTCAAACGGCCACCCGATCGTTCGAACAGTCGTCTGCTCTTTCAAACGTTTCTGCTTGTCGTCTGCTCTTTTAGACGACGCCGGCCCGTAGACCAGATGTTGGCCCGGTACTTGCTATAAGAAGTAAGTGCAGGCCTCAAAAGACTTAAGTTTGAAGGTTGGTAAGCAGGCTCGATGTAAACAGTAAATACAAGGAGATGTTGATCATCGTTTCCAGTGACCATCACTGACTTGCTATGCCTAATTGGCTTGGTCCGATTCTGCTTGCGATTTTCAGTATCGACGTCGATCATCTCAGCTACGGTTCACGCTTTTGCGGCCCGAGCGGCGTGGCGACTGAAAATTGTGAGCGAAATCTCATCATGCGAATCAGGTTTTAGCGTACATACTACGGCGTCCACCCGGAATGAATCGCCGCATGTCACTTTATGCACGGTAAGTTTCGCGGTGTAGCGAGCCTCGGTAATTTCGCTGACGCCGCTCAAGTAGTTAGACATCGCCAGAAAGACGTAAAATCAACGATTCGAACGGGAAAAAGAGCAGGGGGACTCACACCGACGCCGACAACATCGCATTCCAATGGTTTGTTTTTGGGCGACGGCGAGCTTTTTGCCCACACCCCCATCGCGCATGCGCGGCGCCGGTGGCGTCCGCTAGGGGCGCTCTGGTTTGTTTCTAAACATGAGTTGGTGTATACATAATTGAAACAATTCGCGACACGTATATTTTGTATCTCGACTAACAAAAAAGCTTTTAGCGGCTTTGACCAGTAGTAAGCCCAGGACCAAAGACGTCACATATTGCGCGCTTTCGGCAACGCGGGTCGCCCTCTTAGGTGGAAGAGGTTTCCGCGTCGTCCCGCTAAAATATGACTCACTGATATTTAGTTAATCTCTCCGTGCCCGCTTGCTTGCCCGAACCCCAAGAGACGTGCAAACCGCAAAAAACGTAGACGCTTAAATATGCAGGGCCCCTACTTTAACAGCTCCTCAGTAAAAAGCTAGAATGGAAAGAAAAAAAAAAAAAAGGCACGCCCGGCCATTTTTTTGTTTGTTGCATTTAATACCTGTTTCACTGACATAGATGCCTAACCTACGTGCTTTGCCCTAACTCAAACTATACGAAATGAAACCTGATGAATTGCGGCATGGAATAAATAAACCACGCAACGCAGAATACTGAAACTCTCTGAGAGAGTCAGGCTAGCGGTGGTGATAAAATTCGAAAGAAATTTGAGCACAAGACGTTAGCTGGATCAAAAGATACAAAATAAAAACTAAAACATCTCTACAAGCTGACGTCCACCTAAGCCTAATTTGCATCATACCGGTATTTGAGATTCTGGGCGCATGCAGCATTTAATTAGGCGAAGGAAAAAAAAAACTTGTCAGTTAGAAATACAACGTTGTTTTCTTTCTTGTTGAAAAGCTTTTTTTTCTAACTTATACAATTGATAAACGCGCCCATAATTTCAAATTCTTGAATATTAGGCTTAGGCGGACATCGACTCATTGAGAATTTTTGTTATATTTTTGTATTGTTTGAGTGAAGTAAAGTCAGGTGGAAAGATTCTCACTGAGATTCAGCTTTCGGCGATGCGTAGTTTATTCATGTGGGAAGAAAAAACTCGGTTTAATTGGGTTATACTGGGTTAAATAAATCGATAAATACACGCTCATTAGCTTCAATTTTGCTTCTCAAAGCCGGGGCATGCTGTGATCAAAAAGAGAGCTATAGTTAACTGTAGAATCATACTTCAAACTCTTCAACATTAATTATTTTCTCGACGCACCCTTTGATAAAAAAAAAAATAAAATAACAAAGACAGTTGACATTCACGGAACAAGATGTTTATTAAAGCATTAATTATACACTCTTCAGAAGAAAAAAAATCAAAAGGAAAACAACAACAAAACGCTCAGTTTATTCACGCCGCAACAGAAAGCATGCAGAAGGCAATAATAATGAGAGCAAGCACACGAGACACTATATTTCGCTCGGAGCAACGCCTACACGTTAGCATCTTCTCCATACTAAAAAAAAAAAAAAAAAGAAGTGGCGTTTTACATTATTGAGTAGTACAAGTGGTTAACAAGGTCCACATGGGGCCAACGATTGTTCATCGCACAAGGCAGCTGGGTGTTACGGTGCGTTTTTTGACGTCGGGTCGCACGTCACTCAAATTGTCTGTCGATGGACAAGTGCTCGCGTATTTGGCGCAATGCCGGACTTTAGTAGTAATAGTCACTCACTAAAAAGAAAGCGCATGCACAACAAAAATTTAAAAAATAAATTATTTAAAAAATAAATTACTAGTACAAGGTAAGCCAGAGTATACAATCACGCGCAAACACGACGTCAAAGACTTATGGCATGTTTAACTCAAGATTAAGCTACAGTTATACATTTGGTACGCGAGGCGATGAACTGGCCTTTTAAATAGCGGGGGCAATTAAATAGGTCGAGTGACGATGAATGGCTGAAATACAGGAGGAAAGAAGACATAGGTATGTGCTATGGTGCTCATTTGGTGGGAAGAAAGAGTGTTGCCACGAAGATGTGGGCACTGCACAAACAATGGCCACATCTTCGTACAAAAACAAACAAACAAAAACAGAATTCATTAAAGAAGAGGACAGAGTGCATCGCTTTGGAGGATTACGTTTTGCAGAGTTTACAGGTTGTACACACTCTGCGAAGGTGAGAGGTATGAGTGATATAATAAATAAGATTAAAAAACTACCTATAGTGGTATACAAGATGACGTTGGCATTCATGAGGTGCGATCAGCCGGCTTCTCGTGAATCCTCCGATCACCGGGCCAATTCATCCATTCCGTTGGGTGTTCGCGTAGGATAAAAAAAAATGTAGCAGTAGGTTCTGTAATGAGAGAGAGAACAGTATGCGGTGACCGGTGAATTTGAGTTCTGGCACTGCGTTGCGTACGCGCCAAATGGACTTGCGTGAGTGCAACATGAATTCATTTGTAGTCCGTGACTACTTAAAAAAACACAGGGCGTGTCTTATAATCGCTCCATATCTTATGGTACTGCATCATTGGCCGATAAGAACGTCGAAACGCACATCATAAAGCAAGGAGTTTTAACATAATGCGCAGCGTAAGTTAGTCTGCTTCGAGCGCGGTGGCTGCAGTGACGTCAGAACACTGAGCTCTGATTGGCTCTGAGGGAAGGATAGTGGGTGGACCTCAATGCTAGCTGCCTCGAGGTTACCCACTATCCTCCAATCAGAGCCAATCACAGCTCGGCGTCATTCTGACGTCACCGCAACCCCTGCAAAAGAAGCAGACGAACTTGCGTTCCGCATAAGCTCCTTCCTGCGTTTCTTAAGCCATCACCAACTATAGATACCCGTGACGTATGAAGAATGCAATTAACGGCACTACATTCATCAATCAAAGATTTCGAATCAGTGTTAATTGGATCTAGAGAATACCAACGTCCGCACTTTTTACCCTTACCCTTAGCGTCTAAGAAAATAGCTTCTTGCGGTGCACTTTCCAGAAAATCAGTTAAACAAACTATTGTAAACAAGGGCCCTCTTGCTATTCGTACCCTGAATTGCATTGTCCTCAGGATTAGATTGAGCTGCAGGTATACACACTTGCGATGTGTTATACAGTTACATGTTACACTTTAAACATGTTCGATAAGAAGATAGTTTCGTGCAGTTGAAACAGGTAATTCCTAGATATGCATGGCAGCGCGTCGGTACAGCCGCGTAAGAATTTGACATTACGTCCCAGACTAACATTCAATCTAGTGAAGGTTACTAGGCGCTGCTCTTAACCACATAGACCTGGATAAAGCTGCTCTATTACGCATTTCCGTGAGCTATGACTGGTGCTTTCATTGCCGACTCTCCTCTCCACGTCAGTCCTGGCCACAACGAAGTGGAGAAAAAGAACGCGTTGAGGCCTGTATCTTTCCTGTCCTTCACAATTTGCCCTAAAATAGACCTGATTCGTCTTCAGTACAAACAAGTGGCAAAGCAAAAGCATCTTCACACGAAAACGAGGCTGGATGACCAATGTCATAATTTCTTCCACCGAGATCTTCAAGCGCTGCAATCGCTTGAGCCATCACTGCGCCGTTTCGCGGAATCGGCCAGTACCCAGCCACATATCAATGGTCCTGGAAGACGTCGCTCGACCGTTGCAAAATATTTCTAGACGCCGGCCAAAGTATCACGTAATAAAACGCGTCTCTGTCGTCCTTCAACTTAAGCAATGATGACGAAGAGAGTAAGACAGGAAGGGTGGAGGTTTGTAACGTCTTCAAATTGTCCCGGGGAGACGCCCCGACGCTCAGTCAACGATGTACTTTCGCACCCTCGACGCCGTCGTATTTATAGCTGCAGAACCCTCCCGTGCCAACTACATCAGAATGGACCGCAGTGGATGCTACGAGTCATATAAGCCAATAAAGTGCGGTTATTCTGTCACGCGACCCTGGGGACTTCACGTTGCGATGCGCGACAAGCAAGGTCACGTGGTACGCTTCGAGCACCGGAGTGGCCAGGACTGCCTGTAGGGTCTAGGGCGGACCGCATTAAAACGAAGCATCGACGCCATTGCAGAAGCGAATGCCAGACACCGATGCCAAGGAATGCGTTTCGGTAGACTCCGTTCATGAGTTTTGGCCCGCGGGCAGTGAACGGAGTGACACTTTACCAGGAAAAGAGGCGCGCCCTCGGCACACGTGGCGCACCTGGTGACTGACCTGTCTCCGTGGCAAGGAAGATAGATGACTCGAGGGGTTTGTGCGCGTGCTCCGTGCTAGACGACACACGGTAGTTGGGTGTACCGCAGCGAGAAGCCGTACTGGCCGTTCATGGCGTTGTCGCTCGAGGCATGGTTGCTCTTGACCTTCAACGTGAATGGCTTGCTGTTGGCTGCGAGGAAGAAAGAACGCGTGTTCTTCACTCGATGTTGATGGCTGCTGCTGCAATACACCCGTTTCAAAAGTGCGCGTCCTCTAGTAGCTGCTGCGCCAATCATCCGAGTTCGCCATTGTTTGGGCACGTATACACGGGGGTTGCGTCAACGTTCGACGTGAACTCGGTTCAGCTCGTATCTAATCACACGCTTCGTGCCCATGAATGGATGCTTATGATTGTACCCTTTATAACGGGCGGTAGCTTGCGCCAGCTAGCCTAGAAGTTAAGAACCAAAAGTATTATTTCTTTCCTTAGTGAATTTGCCAAACCTCTGAAATTTCGTAACTATAACCAGGTGGTCTAAAATATGAGCAGGATGACTGCCAATGTTGCTTGATGATGTGTTGAAAAGGGCCGACTTAACGGATGTGAGCGTACTCAAAACGTACTCGGCATGTTGTAGAGACATGCTCTCAAAATTGATTTTACATCTTTCACTTGGCAAAGGCAATTCGAATGATTTTCTTCCTTTTTTACGACATGAAGGACCGGGAGTAGTTGTTCTTAAGTCCAACAAAGGCATAGATACAGAAAGGATGTTTCCGTTAAAATTACTTTTGTAGTGCTCTTCCTAGATTGGCACTCTATCATCAGATGATACTCCTCTGCCTGTGAGGAAATATATGACCACTGTCGTTAATAGAGCGGCGTGGTATATTATACAAGAGCTTATGTCTTTTTGTTGTTTTAATCCGATACGAGTGACCTCACTATCACATCACTGAAAAATAAAATGACTGCTTAATGCGTTTTTTTTAGGTGTGTTATTCTTTAAGTACATATTTAGTGCAGGTAAAGGAACCATTCAATTACTATGAAAACGTGACTGGATTAAGCATAAAGACAGATGTTTCGTAAATAACGACGACCTGGCTATTGGGCGATCTAAATAGGTAGTATATATTGCACAATTTCTTTTTTCACTAACTCGTATTATGCGATTATAAGGCTAAGGTGAGCGTCATACCTCATCTCACAAATGTATAGTGTATGCAAAGCACATCAGAATACTGTTTTTCACGAAAACTTACGCATGGAAGTAGATAACAGATAGTGACGTTCTGATAGGGTACGCAGATGCAGAGCATAATGCTTCATTTTTTTGTCAGGATGTGGATTGCAACATTAAGAAAGATTCGAACCAAGAATGAAAAAAGAATGATGTTGACCTGTAGTAGCTAGCCCATAATATTTTAACTTGTAGTAGCTAGCTCATAATAGAGTGCATACAACACTGGTGGTATATGCGGAGCTAGCAAGTTGGTCAGTTTTGTGCATCAGAAAGGGCCGTTGACACGGCGTGCAGCGGCACTTTTGGGGCCTCGGGGTGCTTACAGATGATGACGTTCTCGTCGCCAAGGCTGGTCCCGCAGAACCGATCCTGTCCGTGACCGAGTCCAAGCATCGAGCCTTGATCAATACCAACAAAGTCGTCCATGTTGCAGGTGGTGCCGTTGGCGCCGCGGTCGATCGGCTTGCCCCACGAGAAGGACGAATTGGACTCCGTCTCCCACTTGATGGAGCAGAAGTTCTCCTCCATCCGGATGCAGATGGAGTAGCGCAGATTGCTCAGGTAGCGCACCCGGTGATCCACCATCGGGCCGTAGTTGAAGCTCCGCACGATGGCGCTGGGGCTTCGGTAGTACAGTAGACAGCCGGCAGGCGCTGCAAAGCGCGTGAGAATCAGGGGCGATGTTGTATATTACAGAACTTAGCTCATTTGGGTTGTTAACTAAAAGCAAAGCTTTCTGGCGATATGCGTAGCTTTACCTATTCATCAATACGTATAAATGACGTTTTGAACGACTCAATAAAAATATGTGACAATAGGTAATTCCACGAGGTACTAACGGCATTGCAAACTTGTCAAAAGCAGTCATCACTCGAAGAACTTTGAGGCTCTTTGTGAAACGAAACAATAACCTATGAATTTGTCAAACACAAATGTGAGAGCACGTCATATTACGTATAAACTTATACACCTTATTTTGTTCTGATATGTTTCTGAGAGAAATTATATATAGTTAGTTTCTTTTCAATAGCCACTCGGTGGAGCCGAATAACACGCAGAAGATAGAAAACCACTAAGCACCATAAGGTATTCCTTGACATGATTTCCTATATCGGAACCAGGAAGCGTTATTTTTCGTAGTTGTCTATTTTCAGAGCAACGCACCGGTGTCTCTGGAGCATATCCTACTTTTTGGGGGACTGATTAACGAGAGCGTTGCTGGGTACCCTGTGTATGAGAATTACTCTTAAAATAGCGTCATCATTTTGTAATCTTCAGAGCCTGTATGCGGAGTCCATGGCCATTTCATTGTTGACTGTTATCCGGATTTGATAATAAGAACAGGAGACGGTACTATAAAACGCAAACCTTTCAAGGCTTACTTAAAGCATTACTCAGTGTACTAAGCAGTTTATCCATCGGAGTGCTAAAGAACACTGTTGTGCTGCTGTAGAAGGCACTACTACTGAAGACACTCTACCATACAAAAATACTGTGGAAGAAACTTTTTTTCCGCTTGGACTGACCTATATCGAGACTATTGCACTGGACCATGCTGATCTTTATTCGCCATCTCCGTGTCATCTTGTCCCCGTTGCTGACCACACTTAGCACCACAGGATTCCCAGAACTTCGTCCCATGTCCACGTACACTGTAAACACAAGTGACACATTTCTGGTTTAGACATTTGAGATATTTCATAATCCTTCTTGACCATCGTAAGGTCGGTAAGAATGCTTTGCGGTATATTAGACCCTTACAAATGTGTCTAGCTCCGGCTAAATTTACGCTGTTGAAAGAGCTATGCGGTTTTCCTGCGATCTTTGGTTAGCAAACGCACCTAAGCTTATTACCACAATTGAGTTTTCTGTCACTTGATGACCAGCTGTGTGGCACGAAGAAATGGCGGATGATATTTTATTTGAGACCTCTTTCAGATAAACCAATCTCGCCAGCCAGTTTCATTACATCGCCTCTGAGGGCATGCATATTTGGAACCGTATACCTTTCTGCACATGCAACAGCTGAGCTGAAGGTCTACTAGAGCGGAGCACGAGACGCTACGAGCTGTATCGTGTGCTGGCGCCTGCCTCCTGTGGACTGCAGTTACGGCGACGTCACGCTTAGGTTGAACGCTCAGTAAGACCGGTCTATTGAGCTTGTGAACGGAAATCCGGGAAGAGCAAAGTCCGCGAAGCGCGTCCATCATCATTTGGACATTAAGGAAAGATCTCGCGCGTCGTTCCACATTCAGCCTGCCTCGCGTAATCCATCCGACGTCAGGCAGCGGCTAAGCGAAGAGTATAGGCGTATCGCAGGGTGCTCACAGTGCAGTCCCGCGTTCTCTCCGCAAAGAATGGGCAGGCGCTCCCCGACGGTCGTCCGCACCATGAACGAGTCGGTGATGCACTGTCCGTTCTCATCGGGCTGGGCCAGACTGAACTCGAGGAAGTCGAGGCGCAGCTGGCACACGTTGTTCTGCTTCTCGATGGTCACTTGGCACGTGTCCGTCCCGTTCTCGCCGTTCGGGTAGTTGGGGTTCACGAACTCCGTCTCGTTGTCGCTCGTCGACTTGCCGCACGTGAAGCTCACTGCGAAGCGTTTCGAATAAACTCGCGACTTTGGAGAATATATATACATATACACAGTCATGCGACGATAAGGACTACACGTTTGCTGTTAAGAACAAATAACATCAGAATACACGGGAATAATAAACGAAGAGTAAACCAGGCACCAAGACAATCGCAAAACGATTCATAGAGGTAATCGGGTGTGTTCGTATTAAATTTGGCTTCTGGGAGTTATGAAAAGCTTTCTGATATGAACATTGCAATGAGGATGTGTACCACGAAATGGTATGTGGTTCCCGGTGGCACACGTCGTGGGAGCAACATGTGAACAGTCATCTGGCGGAGCGGATCAACGTATACAGTGAATGCAGTTTCTAAGTCTACTTGAAAATGGTCCCTGATTTCACGCATTGCAAAAGACAGCTTACTTCAGCAGGAACTTTTTTGTGGTTATTGCGGATAATGAAGCGGCTATCTGTCACAGGAAAAGATGAGGTGATAACGTAAATACTGCAAATATAATACCGATATGACGATGCAAACAGCGATGTCCACGACGAGCTTTATTGGTTTATTGATTAACATCGACCGTTTCAGAATAGGATAGTTCTAATAAAAGCATCCCTCCGAGACCCCACTAAGCCCGTTGTTAGCGTAAAAATAAGCGACCGTGCAGTAATATTTGGCTTACCATAGCAGCAGACGCCGAAGCCGTTGGCACACCGGTTAACTTCCGTTCCTTTTCTGTCGATGCAATCCTGTTCACTGACGCAGGTTCCATTCTGGTTGTTTCTGCCTTCGCATGGCTGGTTCTGGTAACGCAGGAGGTTGATGATCCCCGCTGGTTCGCAAAACACAACGAGATCAGCGTTAGTGACCCGTACGTGAGATGTTCAAAAGTGCCCCGCAAAGGTTCCTTACTGATGCTCTGCGGTCTTCCAGGTCGGCTTGGAGGCAACTGGCCACCGAAGATTCCCTGGCCGTACGCTGCTCCAAGCAGCGCGGCCAGTATGGCGAACAGAATCATGCCATGACGAGGCTGCATGCTTTGTTTTCTGAAATTCATGAGTGACGAGTTTGGTACCTCCCTTGGTAATGAAGACGTCCTTCGTATTTCCCAACACTATCGTATACAGATGTATCGTGTTTGGGAGCCTATGAGTCAAACTCAGGCATGTGACGGGCTTCTCGGCAATTGCACTGGAGTCAAAAGGCGGAAATAAACTCTGATGAAAAATTTAAGACGCAGAAGATCAGAAGGCTTAAGGATGGTTCACACAGCCTTATTTCTTCCGTTACCTTACAAAGCTTACGTCTGCTATGTCAAAAGTGACCGGGACACGAATGTTTCGCTGACTGATACGTAACGTAAGAAAACGGTACTGGCTGAACCAACCTTTGGTCTCTGGATCTGCTCTCATGTTGCAGTGGGGACGTATGAATACTCCAACGAGAACCAAACTCTAGTTTTTAGATGAAAATGATCTGTTCCAAGAAATACAACGAGAGACAATTGCTGAGATGGACTATTCTGCATTAAAATACTTTTAAAATCGTGAGCTGAAAGCTAATTGTACCACGATAACCACCAACTACTAAAACATAATCCCTCGGCGTCACGTCTCGACGTCCCTAGTTGACCACAGGGTGTCGCAACCGGGGGTCAAACAAAAAGTTGCCACGCAACGGTATACGCTAAGCACGCGGATGAAACCTACCGGTAGCTTTCGGCGCGATGCGGCGACTGTCTCGCTCAAGGTCGAATCCCGCGAACCCTCACAGCGACCGAGGGAGGGCGAGAAGAACTGGACCTCAAGATGCGTTGTCTGCCAGCCCGTACCTGTTACCGAAGCTGCCTTGCCCTCGGTCAAACTTCCCCTGCCTCGCGCCGAAACCGGACTTAGGATGTGGGTCACGCGCGCTCAGTGTCAAGTTCATTACGCTCCGAAAAGCAGGCATGGTCCCTCGCCATCCGCACATACACACGGCGCGCCGTGCGCGCCTTGAGAGCAAGAGACCTAACGGTCCGGTGTACGCACCTTGCAGCTGAAGACCTGCGGCAGCGGGCTGCCGGGATGCCCGCGGAGCAAAGGTACCGTAGCAACGGCACGAGCTGGGGCGGTGGGACTGCCACACTCCTGGGCAATCACAGACTGGCCCTGTTGGTGACGGCAGGGCTTAAAAAAGTCAAGCGTCCCGAAATGCAAGCTTCAACGCCAGACGGGCCCGGCCACAAACCCGGAAGACAAGTCTGCTTCCAATGGCGGATGATGGGGGAGCTTTCCTCCTCTCCACTTACATAACGTCTTGGGGGTCAGATTCACGTCCTGGACGGAAGATGGCCCCCCTCCTCTCCTCCGGCTGTTACGTCAAAGGGCCATTGACCTTCCGGGGGGTAACAGGTAGCTTGTGGAGCCCTGCCTTCATCCTCGCCCATTTTGAGGGAAGGGAAGGACGTCCTCTGGGTCGTGAGGAGGAGGAAGCCCCCAAGGGTCCTCCCCCACTTCGGGGGGGGGGGGGGGGGGGGGGACTTTTTGGCGGTCTTTGCTTTTGCAGCGTCTGCATCTTGCTTCTGGGCCGCTCTTGGCAAAGACAGGTCCTCCATCAAACTTCCGAAAAGCTGCGCAGAAGAAGAAAAATGGCGGTGTGGAGAGGAGGTGTCAGGGAGGGAGGGCGACAATAAGAAAAGCAGACGTCCTTTTGAGGGTCGTCCCGAGCCGAGACTAAACACAGACCCCCCCTCCCTCCCCCCCCTCGGGGGGTGGGTGGGCCCCAGTGCTCCTACTGGCATGCTTCTGTCGCACGGTGACGGACAATGGTCCGTTGGCCATGGCGGCGCTTCGGGAGGAACGTTTTTCTCGGGGTGCATCGCCTCACCGACCTAACGGTTCTCGGCGGAACGGCGAAGCATTGTGCCGATGTTTTGGGCTGAGCAAGAGAAATAGATGGAAATACGTCGCGCCGTGCTTCTTTGCCGCACTTGGCATCTGTGTGCGACCTGTTTCCGCAAACATCGGGTTCTGAGTTTTTTTGGGGGGTTTCTGTTGCTCGGAACGATTTTCGAGACGGAGATGTTATCTCGAAGATGAGTGAACTGACTTGATAATAGTAAAACGAATTATTTTATTAGATGCAGATTTATTCCGGGACTTATGGGAGCTGTGAACTTCAAGAATGTAGGTGGTGACTTCTGACATCTTTGCATGCACTCTGACTGCTGCCTTGAAACAATGGTGAAAATTTTGATGTTTCTCAAATATGTGATTGGACAAAAGTAGCGTCTGAGGCAATCAAACACATTCCTATTTCTTCTTTTTTCTGTTAAAAGTGTCAGCGGGTTGCGACCAATAAAGTGTTAAAATATTAATGCATTTTGCTATCTGTGCTACAAAAAAAAGTTTTTTTTATATATATAAATTTTAAGATGCGCCATCAAGTATTGCCGCTGCATAAACGGGTAGGGTAGTACTTGATGGCGCAAATGGGTATTTCCAGAAAATGCTTTCTCCTCTCATATTCCTATGAGGGACTGATAGTATTTTGAAATAAATAAAATATTAATAACTACTCGCTTTTCGCAGTGATGCTTGGTCGAGAAGCTTGGCGCAGAAATATTTTCTTATTCGCCGTTTTATTTGTCGCACCTAACACTTGACAAGTTTATTTAGCTGTATATAATGCTACTTTATTTGTGATGGACTACTCCAAAAATACGCAGCGCCTCCCATCGTCCCTTTAACGTACTACGGAAATTCTACTAATGTACGGAGCGTGAAGGGGTGCCCATAAATAAAAGAAGCGGTTCATGTTTGTTTATATTTTGCGATTTCAGAGCGCGACTGTCCGTGTCGTACGTGTGTCTTGTTTCGTCCTGTTTTTCGCGCCTTTTGGCCTTTTAATCGATATGAACCAACTAGCCCCAACCAAAGTTCTATTGCACCACAATTCCCGGCGGAGCGCGGTGCGATCTGCGATTGACCATGAGGCCTTGTGAGATTTTCCGGAGGGGTTTGTAAGGTTGTGTTATTGATTGCAAGAAGGACACCGCTGCAGAAGCGATGATTTTACCGTTGGGTCTCTAGACGTGCCAACGTATTTTATCTTTCAATGCCATCACAAAGCAATGGTGTCATTTTTTTCCTTCTTCTTGTAATGAAGAAAGCATTTTACGGGCAACCGTTCTAGCAGATTATAGGTTAAACTTAAAAAATTATAGTTTTTGTTTTTGATAATAAAAACAAGTTTTATTTATTTCAAGTAATTACAAACTTACGTGTTAATTGCGGTCCTTTTCTTTATCAGTTTTCCCTCGTTTTGTGGCAGTAATAAGATTTTTTTTTAATTAAGCGTAGCAGGCCACCTGGATATCACAACTGTCAAGGCACCCGACAATATTTTATCATAGTGTTTATTATAAAACGAAAGTACCACATGGACGCTTCACTAAAGCAAGGCTGAAATGAACCGAACTATTTTTTTTCTTAAGCATGGCTCGAAGTGTGAGTAAACATAATTGTATCGAAGTAACACGAGAAAACACACTCAAACGGTTTCGTGTAACGTTTACGCAAACTAGGAACATTCCTGCCGTCTCGCACTCTGAGCACACTTCCTTCCTACACGAGGCGCGACACTTGGAGGTCACGTGTGAGGAAGTACCGTTTAATGCCGCTGCACTCCGCCGTTGGTCCCTCCGTCACCGGCTCTGAGTTATGCAAAGCAGCTGGCCCGTACATTCCTCCATCGCCGCGTTTAGGGAGGGCACACGGTAGGTATCCGTGTAATGTAAAATTCGTTTAATGTCATAGCTTTGTACAGCAAAACGTATTCGCGCCATTATTACTCTAAATGTTTCTCCCACGGCTAAGATATTTTTTCTTTGTGCCCAAAGGGTGACCTTGACATAATTTTTGCGAAATCATCCCAAAATCACACGATCTATCAAAGGTTTGTACTAAAAACAAAAAAAAAAAAAAGCATGTGAATGTTGGGATACAATATACTGCTTAGATAAGTGTGGAGGATGTTTTATAGTTCAAATGAATTTCTAAGAGTGCATAAATAGGGACTTTTAGCAAACCATTCCCGTGTTCCGCGTCCCGCACTACTGGAGCACTACCGGGACCGTGGGGCGCGCGCTTGAAATCATGCTTCAAAGCTTCGATTAGGGCGATACGCAAAACACGGTAGTTGTTTGCTAAATTCTATATTATCTAGAGTGCATGATTCATGAAAATGAAAGGGTTCTGAAACGAGTTACTAATTTAATTAGGTTTCATCGGCACATTTCATCGCTGGGATAAAGCATTGCTGTCAATAAAGGAGAGTATACATAATGTCTTCCTTGAGGCTGTCCATGTTGTTTTAAAGGAACACTCTTGCTTTACTATTTAATTGACTTTAGGAGATGCGTCGGTTGACGAAATTTCCAGTTGGGCACCCATAGGCAGCACATAAAGTAAAGTGGGGTTCGATTGTAATGTACAGTTTAAACGTACAGTTATTAAAAACCTCCTTCCAAACTGTCATTTACTAAAAATTTTAACCAGACGGTTACAATGTATCCCATTTGTGTTTTGTATTCCATTGAGGCTGTGATGCAATTGGGAGTTTTAGTATACCGATTCAATACCTCCGATACGATGCACGTGTTGTTGTAAGCGTTGAAGTACGCGCAAAGTCGGTCGGCGAGCTTTCGGGTATCGTAATCGTAGTTATCGGAACGATCTAATAAATTTCCCTATTGACAGTCTTCCAACAATATGAAGGGTTGAAGGTTCGTCGATTTAATACAATGATATTATAGCCTCCCGTTATTACGAGAGGTTGAAGGCCTTTACTGCATACAACCGTCAAAGCATTATTATAGAATTCTAGCGAACCGTTTTTGCGCTCCAGTAACGATACCTGAAAGCGCTCAAATGACTCCGATAACGACACGCGATACTCCGCCGACTCCTTTGTACATGCATCGTATCGTTATCGGACATCGTTATCAGATTTATCGAAACGATACACTAAAAAGCTCTATTAAGGATCTGACTC